GGGGGAGGGGGGGGGGGGGTCATCATTACAGCGGAGAAAGCAGCAATCAAAAGCCCACCCCCTCCCCCCAAAATACTGCCGCCCGGCCCCACGGCTTGGCAAGACATTACAGCGGAGCTTTGTTGAGTAGGCGAGCAGCGCCTCTGTTATTGATGGCTCTACAGACCCCAGATTTCAATAACGCAGACCCAGAGCTTATCTAGAGACATGGCCACAGTCGCTGCTATTGAAGGAGTGAGACAGTTTGCCCTCTGTCATCAATCAAACCAACCTACACAAAGGAATCCCTTTGCCTTCCATGCTCAAACAGAGCAACGCAAAGAGGGGAGTGAGGGGTTCATCATTACAGTGGAGAAAGCAGCAATCAAAATCCACCCCCTCCCCTCCAAATACTGCAGCCCAGCCCCACGGCTTGGCAAGACATTACAGCGGAGCTTTGTTGAGTAGGCGAGCAGCGCCTCTGTTATTGATGGCTCTACAGACCCCAGATTTCAATAACGCAGACCCAGAGCTTATCTAGAGACATGGCCACAGTCACTGCTATTGAAGGAGTGAGACATTTTGCCCTCTGTCATCAATCAAACCAACCTACACACATACACACACAGATGTGCATGCATCACTTCCATAGCAACCTGTGCTGCACAACAGCTTTAATGCATAAGCAGAATGTATTAATACAATTACAATCTATCACTAAAAGCGGTTGCATTTATGCAAAACAGTAAAAGATGCATTGCTATTCAGGCTAAGCATATGCACTTGAGTAGCCCTCTTGCATTTACACGTGAAGTTGAATTATTGTTCTATAACTACACCAGCATTAAGCCGCCATTAAACTTAATAAACGTAAATTTTGCCCCTGCTCCCGGAGCGTGTGCCTCCCTTCCCCCATGCTCCTCTGATCGCAAAGCCTAATCCGACCCTGCCGTGGGGAGCGCAGCAGAAACCCACTCGCCTTGGCCATTCAGTCACGTTCTCTGCGCTCTCATTTTCCGTCCCCTCTGTGACCCGCTCTTTCATTGCGCCAGCGGGGGCGAGGACATTATGCATTTGAGGGGCGCTTCGGTAAGAGGGGTATTCACCCCCCACGGAGGAAAGAAACCTCCGCTCTCAAAGACATCAATCACAAGCCAAGCTTGCCGGGCGCTTTGTCTGCCATTTAATGCAGGTGAGCCAACACTGAATCGAGCTGCATGGGCTGTTTTAACTTTGTTTCTAATCACCTTGGCTTTCAAACTAAACAAAAGACTATACAAAGGTTAAACTTTGCTACGTATTTTACGTTCTTTAGCCCCGCCATTATTAAATGCTTGGAGCAGAAAAGGAATCGAGTGGCATTCGATTCTGTTAAGGGTTCTTGAACTTGCATCCTTCCACCGATGTAGATCGAACCCTGCGCACTTTAAAGGTGTTTATTGCGCTAATATTCAGCACCTCACTAATGAATTTACAGTGCGACACGTTATAGTACGATTCACGATCGAATGACTTTCCACAACCTGTTCTGCGAACGAATTACTTTGAGCCGGATCTTTTTAGTGAGTCAAATGCACTTGTGATTCAGTTGGACTGAATTAGTCTGATTCGGTTACAATTAGTCATGTTCCAACTTCCATTTGAAATGAACCAAGAAATGTTGTACATAAGGCTCTCTTTTTTTTCTCCACAAACGTTTAAAAAAATCCTAAAAGAACCTTTCATGAAGAGTTAAGGACGCAAAACAGGCACATTTCTTACGATTCCCGTACCCTATTTAATTCCAGACACCCTAACTAAGGCCGTTTTTAGCTCGTGCACAAGATAATACGCACCTCGTCCCCACTTTACTCATTAATATATATCTTGCTATCAGCCGTGTTAGGTGACACATTTTGTTCTGTTATTAAAAGAGGCCACGTGTTAATGATACTATTTAAACGTCTAATATGGATAGCTAAATGTGTGGATGAAGCCACAACGGATTTCATATATCTTCTATTGCTTCTAAAGCATTACCTCTCCAGGGTGATTTGCAGTGGAGGCTACTACATTGTGCATTGCCAACTAATTCTCACATTTCTAAATTTAACTTGAATGTTTCGCCATCTTGTATTTTCTGTTCATTACCAGAATCTGTTTTTCATGTTTTCACTGAGTGTTTTAGATTGGCTCCATTATTTGCATTGATAGAAGGTTTACTTGGGAACTTGGGTTTTGTTTTTAACAAGACACTTTTTATCTATGGATGTAAGTATTCAAGAGTGCACAGACAGCAGTGTACTGTTGCAAACTTCATAATCGGACAAGCCAAACTAGCCATTTGGAAGTCATGTAGACTGGCTGCTGAAGGACGAAATATAAATATTCTTCAGCTTTTTACTGCTTTGGTGGAATCCAAAATAAGAGTGGAACATGGATTCTTTCAATTGACAAATAACTTGCTTGAGTTGGAGTTCAAATGGTGTGCAAACGGAGCTTTACTGACACTTTGTGAGGATGGGGAAATAATGTTTAATTGGTGATATATGGTTGTCATTTTGATTAGGAGGTTTTTATATATATAAAAAAGATATATGCCTCCTGAACACATTGCAATGTGATATGTGTGGGGTATAATGTAGAGTTTGTTTTTAGATGTTTTAATAAAGTGTGTTAAAAGTCTTCAGGGTGTGTGGTTCTGTTTTAATTGAGAGCGGTGTCTACGTATGATGACTTTGCAGCTCATTTCGTGCTGTTAATCGTTTAACTAATATACCATTCTCCACCATAATAAGGAGAGACACCGACTAGTAGCTGTTTATTAAAGCACAAGCAGGTTACCTATGGTTTGCTATGAAAGAAAAAACATCCTTGTGGAAGTTGCGCTTCTCATTTTCGGTTCTAAGTAGAACCTAAAGTGACTGGCATTTTCAAACCACGTCTTTATAATCTATTATCTCCAATACAGTGTAAGGTCTTATATAGACAGGGGTGTGGGTTTCCTAATCAAGTCCAATCAGTATAATCAAACACAGCTGGACTCAAATGAAGGTGTAGAACCATCTCAAGGATGATCAGAAGAAATGGACAGCACCTGAGTTAAATATATGAGTGTCACAGCAAAGGGTCTGAATACTTAGGACCATGTGATATTTCAGTTTTTCTTTTTTAATAAATCTGCACAAATGTCAACAATTCTGTGTTTTTCTGTCAATATGGGGTGCTGTGTGTACATTAATGAGGAAAAAAAAAATAACTTAAATGATTTTAGCAAATGGCTGCAATATAACAAAGAGTGAAAAATTTAAGGGGGTCTGAATACTTTCCGTACCCACTGTATATATAAAAAAATCCCAGCTTTTAAGGTGTGAAAAAAAAAGCAGCACATCTCAAAGAAAAGAAAACAATGTATCCATGGGTAGGCGTCGCTCCGGGAGCGCGCAGCGATCTGTGCACGCCGGGGCTCCTGCTGCGGCACAAAAGCTTGGTGAAGCGAAGAGAAGAGCTCTCCCGTTTCAGCGCGCGCCGTCCCGCGGGACCGCTCGGACCGAGAAGAAACTTCAATCAAACCGTGACATCTCCAGCGGGAGCCAAACTCCGAAATCCGATCCGCGCGCATCTCTCCACCCTCACACGAACTAAAAACGCTGGCGAATAAAGCCAAACGGGCTGCCAAGACAAAAGCAAACTCTGGCAATACGATTTCGTAAAGAAATCAACTGGGGATGTCTGCTCGCGGGTGCTTTGGAGTTAAACACAAAATATTTAATATTTAGTCCAAATGTTTCGCAAATTGTTTTTTTGTGAGACGATGAATTGATTTGTTTTGACGGATGTGCAAAGGGTCTATTGACTGCTCCAGATTCATTCCTGAGACGCAAACTAAAATTCTAAACAATAGCAAAAGTTGTTATAAATACACAATATATATTATAAAGCGTCTAAAATAAACAGAAAATCAGCCTTTTGTCCCAAAAAACTTTACTTTTCCTTTTTATGTATTTTTTTTCTACCATAATAGGCCTACACTTCGGAGCCAGAGCACATTTCAAGCACATATCTAAACAGCTAAAATAGCCTATTGACCGCAATGGGCTGGCCTCTAACGTTCTATCATATGATATCGCCGTAACCTCTAATGCAGCCAAACTCTGTTATGTGGCTCATTTTGATTTCCGCACGATTCAAGGCTAACATCAATCACTTAAAATATTCTGTGAACTGTGGCACCGGTTTAACTCAGGCCATGACTTGTCGTCGGTCTAAATTCCACCAGTGGGTATATGTATAGAGCATTACAATACGGGACAGACATGTCACACATTCCCTCTTGCAAATCTGACGCTGACATCGGAATATAGGCTGGTCTGTCTCCAGCAGACAGGCTCCGTGGGTGAGGAGACCATGCAGGCGTGAGCTCACACTAAGCTGACGGGCTATAAATAAACAAACCCGGAGAGCTGGGGTTCTCAGCAGGGCGAGTCGGGGGAGTGGACGAAATAAACTTTGGAAAACAGCCGGTATTCATGCCAGTTCGTATACAGACACTGTAATCTTTAATTGCATCAACAAAAACAGAGATTAAGAACAAAATAAATGCATGCGTAGAAATATAGTTTGGACCATTTAAGAAAATTGTAAAAACTGAACCGCTATATGGAAGCTTCGATTAGGTTGTATTGAACAGATTGGAACAAATAATGAGCAGATTGTCGGCTTTTATATAACACTAAATCTGTCATTAGTTCCACTCTATAAAGTTTGCAATGTTTGATTTGCTACAAAGTAAAGTCTTATTCAGTTGAAAGCTTCAGTGTGTGTGTGTGTGTGTGTGTGTGTGTGTGTGTGTGTATACACTCACACGAATTAAGGTTCCAATTAGAAGCAAAAAGGGTTTCGTGATTTCATATTTTTCACATTTAAGGGCAACAAAGAACTTCTCACTGTCTAGTTCTTCAGAAGAATATCTAGGCCTACACGAAATAACCCCAAAAGTTATAGCCTACATTGATCTAAAAGAACCTATAAATATAATATCAAGCACTTTTTTAATCTACAAAGATCCAATGGGCCAACTCAAAAACTTCTACAGGCAAATGGGTCTCCTTGGGAATCCGTAACAAGAGCTGTTGTGGAACAACTTAAGAACACACGTTAAGAGTGCATGCAGCAATACCCGTCAGATTGAAATGCACTTTTAAAATTGACAGTGTGATTGAGTCAGGCTAAAACACTGGATGCCAAAAAAAATCTGCGGTAGCCGTTTAGGCAAGCCTAAGCAAATATGGATGGATCCAGGGCTTTCTTTCCACCAGGATTCATACGGATACGCTCTGACATGTTTGATTAATAGCGTCCACAGCGCTTTAATTATGCAGAATAGCAGGTCGCAAGCGTTTAGAAAGGAGACTCCTGTGAAAAATTAACCCACGGGTTTGACTACAAAAAGCAGGCCAGTAACTAGGGGCCTAAATTTGCCTCAGCATAACCAACAACAACGTTTCTTCACTTTAGCAAAACAATTGTATTTCTGTTTTGTCTAAACTCTTTACAAATGCTAATTTAACCGTTTTTTTTTTATCACGGGTGATTTAAATAACACCCATCAAGTCAACCTAGATAAACCTGGGATTAGGCGTCTTATTCAAGGCACAGTGATAATGGTTCCCTTGTGGGAATTAAACATACAAACTTTCGGATACCATCGCAGCTCTTTAACGGCTTGGATTCAAACCGAGGTTTTCCTACAAAGCAAGCATCAGGGTGCGACAACCCAGCATCGTCTGTTATTAGAAAATCGCACGACAGTCTGCGTGACATAGCGAGTGAAATATCTGAAGTGGAGGAAAATAGCGTCAATACGTCCAAACGGGCGCGCCTGTCGAGGACAAAGAGGTTTCTCAAACTTCAAAGCTCTATGATAGATTATATACAAAACTGTCCGTCTCGGTAGGAACCGGCCAAGACATTTCCCCCGTCCCGGACACAACCCGACAGCGAAAAACTTTGAGCGCAAAAAGGTCGCGACTCGCGAATTGTCTCGTCAACATTCGTGTCTATTAACAAAAGGAGGACTTACTATCTCGCTTCAATGTCTAGCACAGGCTCCACAAGGAACGTGTCATTCATTTTATATGAATTCATACGCTTCTTGTGTCCATAACGTTTCCTTTCAGTCCTCTCACAAAGCTCACTGAAAAAAGAAATGGAGGTGACCTCCAAAAGTGTATATATACTTGTTTGGAGGTCACATCCAATTCTTGTTTTCTAGGAGCTTTGTAAGGGACCGAAAGGGATCATTTATTGCAATTTTCATAAGGTTAGCAACCGTCATATTAAAGGGCGAGGCTGGAGAAATCAATAGCGTGCGCGGTGTTTATCCCGATCGAATATGAAAGTCCACGCGCCACCACGAGCTGCCGTCTCATTACTCAACACGAAAAAAAATAACACACGTGAATTTCACAGAAACCAACAGTTCCACAAATCTACGATTTGATTTCGCTATGAATAGGCTGTGATGCACAGTAAAAAGGTCAGCTACTAAAAAGGAAAGTCCCGTAACATGGGAAATGGTTCGTTAGCTCGTGAAGACAGTCCTCGGACTGACAGAGAAACTTGATTATATAAATTTATAAAATGGCAAGCAATGTCTGATATTCATATACAAACACAAACCACCAGCAAGAAATGTCAACAACATCGCCGCGAGCGCGACACCAGTCAGCCCAGAAGACCAAATGTTGACAACTTGTAACGTACCGAAATGTCATAAATGTCAAAACAGGAGTCTATATGCGAAGGTTCGTGGTTTAAAATAGTTCTAGGTATCAAAAACAAACCAAAGGTTTCGTGCCAAAGGTCCGCACGAAACTGATCGGGCGAATTTGCATAGACTGGACAATGTTAACGGAACAAACATAAGCAGATAAGACATGGAAAACACCAATAATAAAGCGTAAAACGTTCTTACCTGAATGTAGTGATGCTTGTTGTTCATCGAGTCGCACGGAAAGTATGGGCTTTCCTCTTTAAATGCAAGTTTTCACTCTTTTAGTTTTTAAGATATGCAAAGATTCCCGTTAAAACGAAGAGGATCAGATGCTCCTATTGAAAGCTACATTACTATGTAGCCTATATATAACTCAGGTCAATCTACTAACCCTAGTTTTCTCGTTGTTTTTAAAGGAAGTCCTTCAGAAGTTTAAAGTATCTCCGGACTTGCCGAATACGAATATCCACTCCTGGAAAAACTCGAATAGGAGCTCCATATACATCCATGCACAAGCAGTCCAACGTAATTCCTTTGATTCACAAGAGGAGGACGGCTTCGACACGAATCGCGTGAATGCACAGGTGGCGAAAAATCCCCGGGGCTCTGGTTGAACTGAACTCAAGTCTGCTAAATGACGCCTCGCAGCGCCATGTTGGGCTCAGGCGAGACAACGAGCGACCGAGAGCCACGCCGCGAGAACGGCAGCAGTGTGTTTGCTCGTGTGTGCACGGGCCGGTCCTCGCACGCACATTTACGGACCACTGGTCAACAAAACCGCCACACGAACTCCCCCCGCTCTCTCGCTTTAATCTAACGGACCGTTTTCCGTCTCTTTGTCCCGGTTCCGATACGCGATATCCCTGGCGCGCTGAGCGCTTTGCGCGACTGCTGCTTGTGTGTTCGTGTCTCTCCGTAAGCGCGTGCAGCGGGGAATGAAAGCTGAGCGCGAGACGTCTCTCTCTCTCTTTCGCTCTCTCTCTCTCTCTCTCTCGCTCTCTCTCTTACCCAGAAGGCCAGTCGGGGGAGCAACCGCAATTACCATAAACCCAGTAGCAGTGTGTTTGCTCGTGTGTGCACGGGCCGGTCCTCGCACGCACATTTACGGACCACTGGTCAACAAAACCGCCACACGAACTCCCCCCGCTCTCTCGCTTTAATCTAACGGACCGTTTTCCGTCTCTTTGTCCCGGTTCCGATACGCGATATCCCTGGCGCGCTGAGCGCTTTGCGCGACTGCTGCTTGTGTGTTCGTGTCTCTCCGTAAGCGCGTGCAGCAGGGAATGAAAGCTGAGCGCGAGACGTCTCTCTCTCTCTTTCGCTCTCTCTCTCTCTCTCTCGCTCTCTCTCTTACCCAGAAGGCCAGTCGGGGGAGCAACCGCAATTACCATAAACCCAGTAGGCTGCGCTCCCTCTGTACGACTCGATGCGCCCGTGTAGAATACAGCGAGAGGGGGGTGTTTCGCACAGCGTACGGGCTCCGTAAACAAAATTAATCGGCAGTGCCGCTGAGAGGCTTCTGGAAAACCACAAAACGGTATTTTTGGATTATATTATAAAGAGAGAAGGAGGTGGTAGGTGGATTTATAGGGTGTTTAAAACCTTATAGATGGCTTATATAGATATAAATGTGACTTTTTAAAGCAGAACAAACTTGTATTTTAAATTTTCAATATAAGATTGATCAAGCATTAAAATCCTATCCAACAGAACGCTTTAAAAAAAATTTGAGCACATGAAAACGTTCTCAAAATAAAATGGATGCAGTTCTTTACTTTTTTGTATAGCGGGTATAGCCTAATTGTGGTTAAAAGCTCATTAATTAGTTAACTGGAATGTGATCAGAAACGCACTTGCATAAAAAAGTTTAAAAAAAACATGCAAAAATAAAAAAGACCGACTTCGCTGGGGCCTAGAAATATGAAGCTGAAGCCAAAGTTTTATTTAAAATGACCCTGTTATGTAAACTTTTAGGCTAAAAGGACAAATGAATGGTGGTAATGTCATGGATAAACTTTCTTCAAATGTTTAATGAAAGTTTTCACAAGGAAACCTTCTTAGTGCAGCATTGTTTAAAGATGATGCAATTCTCAGGAGGTTTTAAGTGCTAAGAACATTTGTGTAAACTTGGGAACAAAGTTCATCTGAACGTTCAAAAACTATTCATCCTATTCATTGATTTGTCTAAAAATCAATGTTCCGAGTTCCCAGAACCTAAGTTTGAATGTTTGAAAAAATATTCTATTTTTAGAGCATTTAGAACGTTTTAGAACAATAATATGTTAGCTAGGATGCCGTATGTTTACATTTAAATAAGAACTCATTTAAGTAGAATATTCGTAAATATGACTGGTGTTTGTGGCCGCTCTGCGCGAGAGGCTGTTTTTGTCGCGCTTAGAAGAGGAGCAGGATAATCGCGCGAGCTGCGTGTGTAACAGGATTGCTCGGGGCTTTGACGGAGGATGTATTGGCCACCGCCTGACGGGCAAACCCTTCCCCCACACGCAAGCATCATCCCCGGGGGAGGCGACCTGGAGGGAACGCGCTTAAAGAGTCCTATATTCACAGGCGAACGATTGGTGTTTGAACGAAATTCGGGAATGGAGATATAGTGCAATGTAGAAGTCCAATATAAATTGTAAAAACAGACTTTAATTTATGTATAACATTATAACATAATTCAAAATGAACATATTCATCAATTCTGTATCTAGAGAGATGGCATTTAAAAGTTGTATGATTTTGTCTAATATTTTGGTCGCACAGCGTTGGTGTTTTTGTCAAATAAACGTAATAAAGGTCCAGTTATACTGTGGCATGTTTTGGATGGCCATTTAGAATTCTTACTTTAGAAAATCGAAATAAAATACGTTAATAAGTTGATCTGGGTCTCTCAAGTCATTTATCTATAGGCTAAATATTGTAGTATGAAATCCTGCCCAACTAGCATCCAACTAGAATCAACCAGTAGCAAATGAGACCCAAATTCAATCAAAACAGACACTAGCCTATTTCAAGACTATAAAATGTACAATTCCGAAGAGATAATAAAAGACAACGATAATGTTATCTACTGATAAGAAAGAGACTATGCGTCTCTGAGAGCAACGCTCAAATATGTGAGAATGTATGGGAGCATGAATGTATTGAGTTGATGTTTTCAGAGACTGGGTTGGACATACATATTTAAACAACGGGCACTCCGGAATCTCCAAAAATGAATCTCGAAATAAACCGGCCATTAGGCCTAATTTAACACGGCGAGGGCCTTACAGGATATTAGAATTCTTCAGCTGACACAAACGCTCCCCATTCATTAAAATCTAAATAAATAAGAGGCGAGTGTGGTGGGCTTTAATCTGATCTCTTCAAGGCCGCCCCTACCTTCCCCCATGCAGTCTTCATTTATACATGCATGGGGTCTCTCTCTCCCCCCGTCCCACCCTCTTCAGCCCTCCATTGTGTTCAGTGCCCGAGGCGCTGTGCTTCGCGTTTTCTCGCGGAATAAAGAGACAGAGGAAGGGGAAGAGACGAGTGAGTGGCCATCAGCGCCGGTGTTAATGTCCGCTCATCGAGACATTGTCACTTGCAGGCGTGATCTGTCATTCAAACCTTTCAGACCACGGGCCGAGTTACCGTCTGCACTTGTGAAAACGGTAGAATTGCTCCAGAAATACTTCAAACCTTTCAGACCACGGGCCGAGTTACCGTCTGCACTTGTGAAAATGGTAGAATTGCTCCAGAAATACTTCATATGTGCTTCTATCTATCTATCTATCTATCTATCTATCTATATATATATATCGTTCCGTCAGATTCATAGCTTTATTGACATGGTAAATAAATAAAATAAAATAGTAAAAATATAAAATAAAATATTTTAAAATAAAGATAAAAAGCTATACATTGCTTTAAGTTATTCAAAACACATTCAATAAATAAAAAAACATTTAAAAATACAAAATGCAAAAATGACTGGAAAAATAAACTCTTATTAATATCTTACACTTCTCTATAACTGTAATTAATCATTTACATGCTCAGATGGATGACACGGGACGCCAGGCAGACTTCTGAAGCGTTGCCCTATCAGGGTCATTGTGTCGGCAGCGTCACGTTGGGTGGGCCGATGGCTGGGTCAGTCTAATTGTCTGCTATTGAATTACCTAATGGAATGTGAAAATCAGAGGAGGCGTGTCACGGGGTGGTGCTCAGCGCGCTCCAGTCCCGCTGCTCAGGGCGAGAACGGACCTCAAACAAGAAGACACTGTGCGGGACAAAATCTCCTCCGCGGGCAAGAGACGGGAAACAGTGCTTTTGAAACGATCGTGTTAAATGGATTATGTTGTGGGTGTTTTTTTTTAATGTTTGTTATTGACTAAAAGACCAAAGCAAATGATGTGTGTAGCCTATGTGCGTTTTGAACGTATATTAGAAGAATAATTGCAGTGTAACAAGCTAAATTAAGGTCATAAATGAGTTATTGGAATATTATCAGAAATGCACTTGCATAAAAAATGTAGGGAAAAAAAGACAGACCCCGCCAAGAGGAGCAGCATAATCGCGCGAGCTGCGTGGGTAACGTAACAGGATTGCTCGGGGCTTTGACGGAGGATGTGTTGGCCACCGCCTAGCGGGTAAACCCTTCCCCCGCACGCAAGCATCATCCCCGGGGGAGGCGACCTGGAGGTCACGGCGCTGGGGAACGCTCTTAAAGAGCTCTGGAACGTGCTCAGAGTCCTATATTCACAGGCGAACGATTCGTGGGGAATAGAGTTCGTATAAGAAGTCTAGTATCAAATATAAGGGGATGCACGGGTCCTGTAAAAAAAAAAGACTTTAATATTATTTATGTTTAACATTAGAAAGTAGGCCTAAATGTTACCACCATTAAAATGGTCATATTCAGTTCTGTTTCTAAAGAGATCCAGAAATGTTTTCCAGTTTGATATCTAATCTTTTTAAGTTATATGATGTTGTCTGATATTTTGGTCAAAATGGTGTTTTTGTCAAATAAAAGCAAGTTTAGCCATTTTGAGTTATTACTTTAGAAAATCTAAATCAAGTATGTTAAACAAGTTCTCATTGATCTGGATCTCTCAAGCAAGTTAGCTCAAATATTGTTATTAAGTAATCCAACTAGTATTGACCAGTAGCAAGTATAAGACCCACATTCAATCAAAACAGACACTATTTGAAGACTATAAAATGTAGCCTACAATTCTGAAGAGATAATAAAAGACAACGATAATGTTATCTACTGATAAGAAAGAGACATTGCGTCTTTGAGAGCAGCGCTCAAATATGTGAGAATGTAATGTATTGAGTTGGTGATGTGTTCAGTCTGACATAGGCCTACATATTTAAACAACGGGTCCCCACAATCCCCTCAAATGAATCCTGAAATAAACAGGCCATTAGGCCTAATTTAACACAGCGAGGGCCTTATATGATATTAGAATTCTTCAGCTGACACAAACGCTCCCCATTCATTCAAATCTAAATAAATAAGAGGCGAGTTTGGTGGGCTTTTGTATTGTTGTTTAATCTGATCTCTTCAAGGCCGCCCCTACCTTCCCCCATGCAGCCTTCATTTATACATGCATGGGGTCTCTCTCTCCCCCCGTCCCACCCTCTTCAGCCCTCCATTGTGTTCAGTGCCCGAGGCGCTGTGCTTCGCGTTTTCTCGCGGAATAAAGAGACAGAGGAAGGGGAAGAGACGAGTGAGTGGCCATCAGCGCCGGTGTTAATGTCCGCTCATCGAGACATTGTCACTTGCAGGCGTGATCTGTCATTCAAACCTTTCAGACCACGGGCCGAGTTACCGTCTGCACTTGTGAAAACGGTAGAATTGCTCCAGAAATACTTCATATGTGCTTCTATCTATCTATCTATCTATCTATCTATCTATCTATCTATCTATCTATCTATCTATCTATCTATATAT